TTGGAGGTCAGGCCTTAGCTTTTTGACTGCCTTGTGAATCTCAAAGTTTAAAAAATACAATGCTTTATGCTACTTACCTGGCACATTTCAAATGTCTGAGTAAGAAATACGATTTTGCTTTTTCATCTGACCCTGACGCCATTTTGAGGCTTGTTTCATTAGATGCAAGTCTCAGCACTGTTGCCTTCACCACTGACCCTATCGCCCTATCGCCTTCTCTTTTTTTTCAGCAAGCAATTTTAGTCTTTTCAACTGAACACTGCTGTGATATTCTTCTGTTATGCATTATTTGTCTTGAAATTGGTGGACACGTACTCTGAATGAGCTGCTTATAAGCTTCCATGGTGTAGAGTTACTCCAGAGATGTGTTTCGAATGCGCCACGAATACTGGATACAAGACCAGTGTCTTTCATCAGAAGCTTTATGTGTAAAACACCTAGGTCAGAGGCGGACATGCCGCGGGCTTCATGTGGCCCAGTGGCGGATGTATAGACTGCACCACGGTGGGCATATTTTCATTAGCCAGCTTGTAAACACAGTGGACGACAGTCAAAGCAATGCTTCACGATTTCAATTCTATTTGAATGGTAAAAAACTCAAAATGAAGACCATGCCCACAAACGTTTCTGAGTACGTGTAACCTACTACTTTTCGAAGTCAAAATTTTAACCCCCGCCTTTTCTCGACATGTGCCAAAACACACTTGATGAGGGTACAATTAAGTGAGCAATTTCATTCTTCTTTTGAATGATCCTTTGAAGTATTACCAGTTTTCAGCGGAGCACCCAGAATTTGTTATTGTGGGTTTTGACCGGAAGTGACCCCCTAAACATTCAATGCGTTATGTGTTTTTCCTTCAATGTTAGTTTGCTCAACCACGCAAAGAGCAGTGGACTCCACAAATGTAACAGTCACCTGGTCTCCACTACCTTGTGCGGATCATTACGATGTGAAATATGCACTTAGCCATAAAGATGGTTGCGAACAGATCAACTCACTGATGTACATCTATGACCATCACTGCACATGTCAGGAAAGTCAAACTACTATAAATGGTTTGATGCCAAACTCTCAGTACGTTGTACGAATCAAAGCCTATGTCAACGGCGCTTATGGACCACCGGCAACGACACAGATCACTACCACCTCCGTAGGTAAGTCATACAAAGCCTTGACCTAGTTTCAATTAAATTACTTTAGAATGTTTAACTGCTTAAGCTGTTGTGGTGGTGTTTAAGGACCAGTAACAACAAAAATAATCACAAATATTAACTGATTGCCTTTGTAACCGGTTTTTACCCTCATTAAGATTGGGATTTGACCAGCAAAACTAAATTGTAAATTAGATATGCCCTAGGGTGCATTCAGGAAGCGGGTTTGTTTCATAATCATTCAATTTGCATGCAATCTCTTCGGGAATTTATGTCATATTGCAGCACCGACTGGGCCACCCACAATGGTGACGACTGAATCTACTGGCCAACGCAACCTCACTTTCACCTGGAGTCCTCCATCGTGTGGAGGCCAAGGCGGTACCATCACGGAATACGTTTATGAGCTGAGTAACCCAAATACTGGATGGAACACTTCTGCACGTATATCTGTTGAGGAAGTTACAATAAATGAACTTCTCCCATTCACAAATTATACTTTCCGAGTAACCGCAAAGAACAGCGTCGGGAATGGCCCGTTCAGTGAAGCAGTAACTTCGAGGACTTTGGAAGCAGGTGAAGTTTAATAGTTCGTTTTACAGCTTATCTTTCCTGAAAAAAACTTTCATAATGAACCATTTCCTTTACTCATTTTAGGCACAATCAATCCAACATTCATTTTTTATATCAATAGTGCCCACAGTTCCCTTGAACGTTCATATCCAGTCAATGGACAATGTGTCTGTGATCCTACGGTGGTCTGTACCAGACCCACCACAGGGAATCATTACGCATTATAATGTTCGCTACCGGAGGAACAGAGAAGTGAAGCCAATGGAGATTAACGCCAATGTGACGCAGTTGATGCTTCGTGTAACAAACCTGGATGCATCAACAACGTATTTTTTTCAGGTGACGTAATTTCTCACGTTTGGCAAAGGTTTCTTAACCAAATTAAAGTTAGTCCTAAGAATGGTTGGTCGAAATCGTCTTTACGGTACCAGTGCTGATGACAAACAGCAAACAAAATTACTCTTCTTTGTATTTTATTCTAATTAACATATTTTATGACCGCTTTAGATTTAGCTTTCAGTGTGATTGAACAGAGCATAAAATTTCATGCTTGGTTTTAGCAACCAAGCATCGTTGCATTTTTCAAATTGCAGGTTCAAGCCGTCACGTCGGCAGGTCAAGGCCCTTGGAGTGAAGCTATCAATGCAACCACAAAAATAGGAGGTAGGTCGATTAAATACATGTACATCCAAATAACTACATGGTGACTGAGGGTAGGATTCAATTTCAAAAGATTTCTTAACACAATGATATCACACTGATATCCTTGGTCTGTTTGAGTGTATTATATTATTATTTTTTTTTCAGTTCCTGGTCCTGTTTGGAATCTGAACTTCACAGAAAGGACAAACACTTCAGTCACCCTAGTCTGGGACCCACCACTAAAACCTGGAGGGCTTATCACTGGTTACATTGTACGTGTTCAATATGCGCACTTTTACAACCTGTGCATTTAGTTGAAAATCTAAACGGACCCATAGAGAGGGCATCTTGTTGTTGAAATCCTCAACACTCCACGTCTGGAATGAAAGAAAAGATGATATCACCAGTCTGATACAATTTGGTGTGAAAAGAATGGTATTGCTGTCCCAAATGATTCCACGAGATTCCAACATTTGTGAACATATTCAATGTTTTCAGTCAGGTTTTTATGAAAGAGGCTCCCAACACAACAGTAAACAAGGTGTACAATCCAAATGTATCCATCCTGATGCTCATTCAAGTTGATTTCAGAAGACGCCCGTAGACGGTTTCCGTGCAAGCCATGTTAAAGGCAATGGAAGTCAATCGTGCAGGATGTAATATGCATTTCAAGAATCAACAAAAAGCTTTGTGCCTCAGGCAGTGTCATTGTGTACGAGCTTGGCCATATTTCACCTTGGTCATATGAGAAGCCTTTTGGGGAATCCTGCAGTGCTTTCCATTGACAATTCCAGAAAATGTCCTCTCACCTTCTATTGTCAGCGGTAAGAATAAAACAGCTTGTCCTGCGCTAAACCATTACCTGATATTCACGTTCATATTCCATTTAAACAGGTTCAGCAGAGAATCCTGGAGAAACCCTATCAACCGGAACTCTCTTTACCTAATACATACGAAGAAGTCGTTGATAAAGCGACTCTCTCGAGAACCAACCTGGAACCTGGTACCAAATATGCATTTAGGGTTTGGGCGATGAATGAAATGTTCACAGGAGCGCCCAGCAACGTCTTGGCCCTGTATACGAAGCCATCGGGTAATATGCTGATCCAACGTTTTGTGATAAAGTTGGTTAGAGTACTACACACATAAAGTTTATCGAACGATTCATGAAAGTACTGTTAGTAATGTAGCAGCCCTGTGAGATGTTTTGGTCTGGAATGCTGTTAGTAAGATAGTTATGGGAACAGGACTTTAGTGGAAGAAAATGCATTTAATTCCATCCACCTGTCAGCCTCTTCGTTGGTCTGATAAGCAATCGAAAAAACACTGTTTTGTGGTATTTTGTGCAGCCCCTCCTGCTCCGAGTCAACCAACAACATATCAAGAGGAAAGCACTGATTCTACTGTGACAATAAGTTTTGCACCGCTTGTCTCTAACAACATATACGTCAGGTAAGCGTGAGTTGGTATTTGCTTATCACGCCCGCTTAAATGTTTTGTTTTCAAATCATGAAAACACATGCTTGGTTGATGGTTCTTTTGCAGCTCTTACGTAATACATGTCAAGAAATCAGCTTCGTCCTCCAGGCCCAAGAGAGAAGCTTTCACTCCTATTCGTTATGAGGACTCTATCGATGACTACACTGCAGCAGAGATATCAAAGCAGAACTTAACCGACAAATTTGTAGTGGGAGACAATCAAACGTATGGATCGTACAGGAACGCACCGCTACAAAGAGGCGCGGAGTACCAAGTCCGTGTCGGTTCCGTCAGCAAAGGGAGTGAAGACGTAGGTCTGCCAAATGCTCTACGGTGGCTGATCTCCACCAAGAACATTTTTTTCTCAATACAGTGTTATAATGTATCCCTAAATTACGGCGTTATAACGCTGTCATTACGCCATATAGTGCGTTATAACGCCGTATAACGAAGTAGCTCAGGGCATTTTAAAGCCGTAATTAGACGTTATAACGGCACGATTAAGACTTTATTATGCCGTATAGCTATAACGCCGCGATGTCCACAAACATCAGCCACCGTAGATATCACGCATGGTAATAACCGTTCATGTTTTAATTACAATGAATACAAGTTTAACTGTAATGACCTAATGACCCAGAGTATTTCAAGAGCAAAATGATCAAACAGTGCTACCCAATGAATGAATTCATAATGCAAAGATGTCAATTCTTTCTTGCACTAACAGGAGATCTTCGTAACCTATTCGATGCCCATTAATGTAACAGGTAATCTTTATATTCTTGATATGAGATCGTGTAGGATTGTATTTTCAGTTTTGGTTTCTTCGTCATGTGTTCTCCATTGTCATCCTGGGTTAAAGAGTCAAAGTGGAGCAGCAAACTTAGTTTGAAAAAAAAACCTGATGAAAATCACATCAGAATGGCATGAAAACGCACTGATATTTCATTCCAGCCGTGTTTTTATTGAAATGACCAAAACCAAAAGATCTTTGGGCTAACGACTAAAGTTCAGAACATACTACATGATGTTTAACGAGACTGGGTTTTGTTCATTTAAGTGATGCAGTACCAGCCACCGCCGACAACAACACCCCACTCCGACGTGGTTCCAGCAGTCGTGTCGGTCCTTGTCATTGTTGTTTTAGGCCTCCTGATCGGACTAGTGATTTACAAACGGTAAAAGCACATCTTTTCACACTGGTGCTTTTGGATAAATTCTAGATTAAATAACAGATTTCTCATCCCAACCTCAAGGAAAATTGTCAAATAGATAACATTTTTAGTTGAAGTGGAAGTCTGTGGCCTAGCTTTTCTATCAGAACCAAAGAAACCTCCTGCACGAGATTGGACTGAGCCTGGAATCTCTTGAAACTTTAGTCTATCAGTAATGTCAGACATTTCTGTGTTAACATCAACCGGCTTTTTCGGTGGCCTTGAAGAACATATGAGTTCTCTTCAGTTAAATGGGAGAAACTTGCTGCACTTTAAGCAGATACAAACAACTCCTGATCTCCTGATCTCATACCTAAGCATGAGATCTAAATTTTCACAACACTTCTTTCAAAACAACGTCTCGTAGAATATTAAAATTTTTCTTTATTTGAAGGAGACGATTTCTTCAAGCCAAAGAGCACTCAGACGTTGGTGTGAAAGAACAGGAGACATGCATTCATCTAGAAAAAAAAGGCAAGCAAAATTTTCTTTTATCTATTTTAGAAAGGGATGTCCTAAATTAGTTGACATTTTTTTCCGATTTCCGTTCATCCTGCATAAACTATAGAAAAGGTGAAGAAATACTAAAACATTAAATTGCAGTGTCTGCCGAGGTCTCAGAACAACCTGAAGAATATTCTAATGATCACATCAATGTCAAGGCCGTGGATCACAGTTGTGACGGAACGTCCGAAAAACAGCCTAAACCCTCGCCCAAGCCACGACAAGAAGCCAGCTCACCTCAAGCAACTCCTTCCCCAGAGGAACCCAAGCCGTTCACTCCAGTGCCATCTGTTCGCATCGAGGACCTGGCGGACTACATTGACATGAAAAAGTTGGCAGGTGAAAATGGATTTAAGGCTGATTACAAGGTAAGCAAAAGTAAAATATGTCGGTAATTTCAACGATGTCCAGAAAAGAATTATCGTTAATCTGACAAAATGCTATTTTTAGCGGATGGAGAACCATGGATATACTTCAAAACAAAACAACGTTTTAGACGATATCTCTTTCAGACTCTACCAAATCTACAGCTGAATCCATGGACAGTTGCTTCCAAGCCAGAGAACAAACAAAAGAATCGCTATCTCAACATCTTTGCTTGTGAGTACACGTTATCAGGCACCATACAAGGTTTCATTCATAACAATAACGTAACTGAAACATTTCAGTTATCTTGCTTTTACGTGAAATTTTTAAGAACGAATCGTGAGTTGCATAATTGACGTGGGTTTATAACACCTTCACTACTTCAGACTATACACTACACAAGACAAAAAAGACAAAAACCAATGAAGTCTACAGCGTTCATTCAGCCTTATAAATCATCATGAGATGAATACTCTTGCTTATTATATTCTTCGTTGTATTCACAGATGACCACTCTCGTATTGTGTTACAACCCTTGGAGGACGATCCTCACTCAGATTATATCAACGCTTGCTACATCGATGTAAGTTCAAAACGCAACCATTATATTTTTATTTTATTATTTTTTGGGATATTAGCAGAAACATCCTTCTTTTAGCTTGCAGTAAGCAAACATTAACAACAGAAAAGAGAAACATACCATACCTGTCCATTATTCCTTTACATCTGAAAGAGTTATCGGAGGAAATAACGGTGTTAATTTTGTTTCATTTTGTAGGGTTTCCAAGAGGAAAACAAGTACATAGCATGCCAAGGTAAACTCCACGTCTACGCTTTCTGATATGATAAAAAGGCACCCATGTTTTCAAATATAGCAGAACTTCTCCCTGAAAAGGCCGACTCTTTTAGGTAAATTTGAATTGTCTTCAAAGTGGTGATCACTAGTACAAACGCTACCAATTCTTGCTAATATATTTGAATGTGTAGGGCCGAATAAAGCGTCACTTCGAGACATATGGAGAATGGTGTGGCAGTTGGACGTGGATAAAATTATCATGCTGACGAATCCGGTGGAGAACGGCAAGGTAAGCAATTTTGTGGAACGTTTTTAACGCAAATATGTTGATTTTTCTGTTTTCAAGACGTTTATTGCAATCCAATCATTCGATGTTTTCTATCAAGACAAAGTGCATGCAGTATTGGGATGATACTGGACCTGTTACCTACGCGGACATGATTGTGACTACTGTCAAAGAGGAGGTCTTCCTGGATTACACACTTCGCGATTTCTACATCCATCAGGTAAATCCTAAATCATTAAATCTCAGAGAGACAACAATGCGTAGTAAACGTCAAACAGTGCAAGCCTGTTAAACAAAACCAATATTAGTATATGTAGGCATGCCTTGATTTTGTGGCAACTCCTTTTATAATCTCTTTTTCTCTCAGATTGGCAGTGAGGATCATAGTAGGTTAGTGAGACAGTATCACTACACCACCTGGCCCGATATGAAGCCACCGGAATACCCAACCCCACTACTGAACTTCATGCGCGTTGTCAACGCTGAACAAACCCCTGGACGCACCGTCATACACTGCAGGTAGGAGTTATAAGGAAACAATCTCCAGTCACAAAGACGGACTCGGGTTGTTAGGAAGTGAGAACAACTTTTCAGAGTTACGTCGGAATGCAGTTCAGGAGAAACATTCAGATGGAAAACTATGGCCAAAGGACTCCACACTATGCCGTCACTAGACAATCATCGGGCCACCATAATAAACCGTTTTTTAATTCGAAACAGGATGACTTACGAATGGTTACGGCTACGAATGTTTTGCCGTAGCGCTGTCATCTTTTCTGCGTCTTGCAAACCGTAACGGGTAAGGGGTGGATATTGTTGTTCTGACACAGCGCTGGAGTTGGGCGCACAGGGACCTACATTGCACTGGATGCGATGTTGGAGCAAATGGCGCACGAGGGACAAGTGGACGTTCTTGGCTTCATCTACCAAATGAGGCAGAAACGCATCAAGATGGTGCAGACGTCGGTAGGTCTCATTTTACACAAGTTCATATTTAACCGACTCTTATAAGCAAAGTAGCACCGTATCATACCAAATAACTAAGTGAAGCCATACCTTTCTCATCTTGAAATGAAATCTTGACATGAGATGTTGTTGTCAATGACAAGATAGAAGATTCGATTGACGTTAACTGTAACGCCGTCTACAGGAACAATACAAGTTTATCTTCGATGCTCTCCTTGCATCATTTCTGACTGGTGACACGGTCTACAATGCCGATGTCTTCAGACAGAAGCTGTCAGCGCTAAAGAAGTCAGAGGGAGGCGCCAAGGAAACAGGAATGGCGAGACAGTTTGAGGTATGCAAACAATATGGGGCTTTTCTCGACAAAAAAGCCCATATCAATAAACAGAAATAATTTTGTGTGACAGCATTATCAGTTGGTCATCATTATGTCCACCTGGTGTCAGGGTTAGTCCGATTTATTTGCGCCACTAAATGCTACAAAACAGTTCATACAAATTTTACTGGATTCGATTTGCATTTTGTATTTACGGTTACTACTTAGGCAACGCGAGAAGCTGTATATGCCACAAGAGCACGTTTAATTTCATAGTAAAAACATACCCCCCTGCACTTACCTCTGCAATGCCTGTACATTTCTCTAGATCTTGGGTAAACTAAGTGTGTCTCCGAGCGTTGACAGCAGAAAGCCCAAAGCTGCAATAACGCCCGAGAACTTGGACAAGAACAGGTTCCAAGACTTGGTACCAAGTAAGCTGTTACCCTTCCAGATCCAAGTCCTGTTTCACTAGTTATTCTCTGCTGTTTTCTGCACAAAACGACACAGTATGAATCAATTAAAAGCCAGAAACTCTCACTTGTCTGACCAAAAAGACCAGCTTGGAAGGATTAATTACATCATAACAGATCAGAAAATATTACAAAATCGTGGATAAATAGAGTTTTTTGTTAGCCACTGTACTTTGTGCTCGCTGATTTTCGAAAGTTTTGAGGGAACAATTAATCCTCAATCCACAAATGAGACCCAAACTAATCCGCCTGGTGAAGTACATATTACATATGAGACCCAAACTAATCCGAGAATTAGAAGAAAACATACATCGTCTATTATATAGCAAGCGTGATGAGAAACACATTTGGAGTTTTTGATTGTATCCTGATGTTTTCATTGCTTTTTTTCAACCCACTAGAACAAACACCAACGGCTACGTCGTGCATATTCGGAGTTCTGTTTCATTTCTTGATTTTTGCTTTTAAACTGACTTCACAGCTGACCGTGCCAGACCCTTTCTGAGGTTGAAGATGCATGGGGATGATAATGATTACATCAATGCCAACTTCCTCCCCGTAAGAACAATGCCTTCATATAATCTCATGTGATCACGACATCATATTAAAAACAGCAGTGTCATCATTCTTAGAAACCGTCTAGGGATAGCAATTTCCTGAAAATGATTTGCAGACATCGCGAAATTATTTGTCATAGGAGGACTAAATTTCAAGAATAGAATTTCGACATTGTTTTTAATTTGTAACTGTCGGGTACAGTCATTGTTTGATGAATAATCACACGATTTCAATACTAACTCACAAAGATGTCGACATTTTAATGTCAAAAGGTCGTCGTCCCGTGACAGGGGGCTGTCGCCATCCTTAATCTCATGAGAGATCATCAGACCAGGATGTCGAGATCTCATAAAATATCATTTGAGAATGTCAACATCATGTAAACAAGTTTTGTTTTGCCCAAAGGTTTTAAACTGCTTGCAGAATTTTGAAGGACACCAATGCCATACAGATAGGCCCAACCCAAAACAATATGATCTATTACAGTGCACTTCAGTGCACCTGTCTGTTGCTATTATGCTCAGCGCCTGGAAAATCTGGAAAATTACTGTGGTCATTTTTATGTATTGTCTGTCCTTGTAATATGTCTTGCCTTTTTTAACTGAGAAATAATTATGAGATATTAATTCTTAAAATATACTATTTGTTGGCGTAACTCTAACCAGGTTCCTTGTTAACTTTAATTAGGGTTACCGCAAGGCAAATGTGTACATTGGAACGCAGATGCCGATGCTCAACACTGTAGCCGATTTCTGGCGCCTGGTTTACGACCACAAGGCCACCACCATAGTCATGCTAAACACCCTTGATCCAAATGACAAAGTAAGTTCACATTTCCATTGTGGTCGTTGGGGAAGTTATTATAAGGATATGGGGTCAAATATTGATGTCAGTAACAATGTGCTTCATACTGAAGCATCAATTACCAAAAACCTTCTTTTTTGTTCACTTCTCTGAAGAATTAATTACCACATCACATTGTCTGGAAACTACACCGAGTACGAATCAAAATGATGATTTCACTTATTTTTGTCTACAACCAGACAATGTCTTGCTACTGGCCACAAGAAGGACGAATTGAGTACGGACCTCTTGTCATTGAGCTGAATGAAACAACAAAGTATAAAAGCATCACAAAGCGCTCCTTTACTCTGTACAACAAAACGTCTAACCTGGAGGTAAGAGCTACACATTCATAACATAAACACGGGCCTAATGACGTAACTTTTCCTATGATTTTCAAACTGCTCCGCGTAAAAGTGTTGGTACACTCGATAGCAATTTCATGCTGCTGAGTCTTGAGCCGAAAGTGTGAATATTCATCATGTTAACAACAGGTACGTCACCTCTGTTTGGCAAAATGAATATTTTGTTATACACAGCGCTCGGTGTTTCAAGTGGTGTTTTGTGACCTTCAGGGAAGTAATGTTCAGTGGCGTATAAAGGTTTCGAGTCCCAGGGGCAATACGGGATTTTACCAACTACAACATTAACAATACGGTTGCAAAGTTGTGAGCGATTTCAATTCCTTAATAAAGAGCAAAATGACTCCAGGAAGACAATTTTCCCACCTACCGGATACACCGCAGCTTATATTTCTAACTATAGCATAATGCAAGCATTAATGGCAGGCTATCAACAGTCTTTGACAGCAAAGATTTTTCTTTCAATGGTAAAGTGAGAGTACAGTATCCAATGCTGTACCACGTTAGCCGGCCATAATTGAGCATTATTCAAGAAATTTCCAGTGGCACAAGAGTCCTAAACTATATATTCCACAAGCATATGATCCAACAGGTTTTTATAACGCGTTTGTTTGCAGTTTGAAGACTCGTGGGTCGTCACGCAGTTCCAGTATCACGACTGGCCGTCTGACAAGGCAATACCAAGCTCCTTCGATGGAATGCTAACCCTCTTGGAACTCAGCACCCAACCATGTGAAAGAACAAACGCGCCAGTCATTGTCCACTGCATGTAAGTAATTATCACACTACACTCTGAACAGGTTTGTCGTCCAAATTTACGTCGCACGTTTTCGTTAATGCGATCATCAAGCTCACATTCGGTCTCACTGAAGGTTTTATCGATTTTTTACCCCAAGCGACGGATATGGTGCTACGTCTGTATACTGTGCCCTGATGGCGCTGTTGGATCAGTTCAAGTTCGAGAAGGCTGTAAACGTGTTCCAAGCAGCTCATCGTCTGCGCATGGTCAGTATCAACATGATGTACTCAGAGGTAAGTATTACTGGCACTAGCACAGCCAGGATAAGATGATAATACAAGGCTATTTTTATTCAGTATTGTATCGTTGTGAATGAAACCTCATACCGATGCAAACAAATTAATTATCACAGTCACATTTTTGCTACATGTTTATGTCCTGGAGAAAAGATATACACAATTAAAGTTGACTGACTTTGAAAGTTTTGACATGACTGAGCTTTAAATGCACTTTTGAAATACATGGCTAAAGAAACAACCAAGTATTAAGACATCATGTGCCAAATCTGATTAAAAAAATAATAATAATATCAAATGCTACTTTGATATTTGTTTTGTCACCATGACAACAAGGTTTTGGTTGATTTCCACAGCACCACTTTGCAATGTGCTATGATGTACTGCAAGACTATTTGGACTGCTTGGCTAGCACCTATGAAAATTGCATATGGTAAATGTGGGTTGGAAAGTCGTCCACAGTCTGAAAGGAACCGTTTATTCCGTACTTAGATGCAAATCTAAGGCTGCCAATTGACAGAAGTATCAGGGATGGTATGGTCACCCTTTCAGCGAAGAAAGCAAAGAAACATTATTTGTTAAAATTCTTACTTGAAAGAGACGGGAACTTTGACAAAATTATTTTTAGGTGATGTAAATTTCAATGTTCACTTTACTCTCCACCAATGTATTACGGCTTGTGAGGAGCTTGCAGGCTCGAGTCTCAAGCAAAATTTCTGTTTTTTTTCCCTTTCTAAGAATGCTCTGACACTCAGTGCGTTTCAGATTCTCATGATTAAATGCAAATTCATTTACTGCGATAAAAAATCTGCAGACGCTAGAAATTGAAGACTTCAACACATATTGAAAATACAACTAAGTCGAGTAGGTGCAACCAGCTGAAGGGAATTGAAGAGTGGATTACTGAAATGAACTTCTCTCACAGAAGTAGTTGTCATCCTCGTATGTAATTCTACTTTTTTATTGCTAATAATGGTGAAACCTGACGTTTGTTTTCCCCGCATTCAAACATTCAGACCGTAACTCAACACTTTACATCAAGAAAATTGGGAGCTTTAATGGCCTGACATACACCTCTATAATTATTTTCAATATTGAACTCACTCGTCTTTTAAATGATAAGTTTCTATGATGTAAGCCAGTAAATGAATCCCGAGAAACATACAGAAATATTTACTCAGTTTCTTTGTGTGTTGCTTAAATGTGGCCTTTCATTATTATAATGGTGTGATAGTATAATCAAGCCAGCTGAGTGTGTAAAGTTTAGTTACTTGGGTAAAGATGCTCCGTTGCAAAATGGGATACTCTACCTGTCCAGGTTCAGTTAAATGTAAGCGCTATATGAAGACAATGGTTGGAAGAGAGAAGATTCAGAAATGCCTCTCCAACACAGTAAACAGTCCTTCAATGGCCCATTTTTACCGTGTCGGTTTAGGGTTTATATTCAATTTGGAGACAGAATTTTGTTTCTGTGAATAACCTTAAAAAACTCGACAACCAAAAAATATCTGCTCACTGTGCAGCTGCCTGGCTACTCTACTGGCTTTTGTGAGGTTAAAGCCCCTTGCAACAACTAAAAACCTCCTCTTACACCAAACATTTAAAGTGGCTTGGTCAAGGTCATTAAAAAAACAGGACGATCTGAGGTGACATCACTACTTCGTTGGTTTTATACTCACGTGCGTGTTCCTGTACTTAAAAAGTGCTTACCAAGGCAAGTTACAATTCATTTCAAAATCTATTTTCGGCAGGACAGCCGGTCTCAACCGGATAAGCCGGTCTATATATCAGTATTAAAAACAAATCTGTGTTTTTTTCGAGGAGGGATTTCATGCGTGTAACCTGCTTACTTTCAATCCTTATTGTCGTATTAGTTTATAGAGTAAGAATTCTAGAAAACTCTACTAAAATGGCTTTATACAGATACAATTCTTACTCAGCGTGTTAACATGAAATATTCTACTCAGCGACGTGTTTAAAAGACCATACTTGAAATCTCGTATATTTCAAAACCATGCTTTTGACTAATTTCTGTTAGAATTGATATAGGATCTGATATAGTATTGATATAGGATCTGCCTATAGTCCAGATTGTGTTTGTTTGCAAAAGCTATATTCAAGATATCATCGCTTTATGAAAATGTCTTTTCAAAGAAATGTACTGCTTTTACTTATTTAAATCTGAAGGTGTATATTATACTTGACACAAATGTAATCGCTATCACATGTGATAAATCGAGAGGTGTTCGTTATTCATAAAGACATAATTTAAAATCCTAACTTAAGGGGCAAAAATATAAACACAACGAGGTGTTCGTTCTTAAAATAGATTTATGGTAAATAAATTACTCAGCAAAGAAAACCTGTACTGTGTTCACGCTTGTCGTCTATCTCTCAGAGTCAATAAATCTGACGTTTTTTATTTGTAATTGCATTAAGAGTGAAAAGAAATGGCTAAAACGTACGAGTCACTGGCTACTGACAAGAACCGATTTTTTTTTCTCTACACATAAGAGTTCACTTTAGATTTAAGCTTTGTTGCAAGTTCTTAGTGCGTTTTGCAGACCTTATAAATTACCATTTAAAACGGGAAATCGCTCTTAAATGATGTCCCCAGTGATACGAAATTAGGCCTATGCTAAAACTTGTTAGAACTTCAGCTTTCCTTTGAGTGCAAACTTCCGAACCTCAAATTGGAATCAGCTTAAAGCACTTCAAATTTGATTCATTAAAAAAAAATGGTGTTCGGAAAGCGTTTGAAGTGCTATTGTGTATTTCCTCTATGCTCAAAATCCACCAGAAAACATATCAACGTTATTAAATAGATAGAGATCTCGTGGAGTAATAAACTTCCATTGCCGTGGTCTTTGTGTACAGTGGCTTAACTGCTTTGGCTCTGTGAAGCAGTAGTTCCGCTTTCGTAGAGGGCGCCATTTATCTGATGTATGCGTCCATTTAGGAAACATTCTGGAAGAGGGCCATCTGTATCTGCATCATTCAATATCCAAAGTTCTATGGTTTACTCATGTTCAGTCGAATAGATCTTAAACGTCAGAAACAATTCTCAATATGACGGGTGTCATTGATTTGTTCTCGACATTCGGTTCATTCAGAACTTTATTACATCAAGTAAAACTCACAGGTTTTGATCATGCTTACAAAGTTGTGAAACACATTAGTTACGCTGTTTGTTTCTGGTTTCGTCTTGAAAGAACCGTGTACCAATACCCTATGGAACATTTGTTGGCAGCGGGTTCGTTGCTCGGTCGGACCGACAGAGAGACTGTACTAGCAAGCTTAAGCCACTTTGGAAGAAGCTCACGTAAAATTTCAAATATTGTATAATATAAGTGTAGATTCGCCTATTTTTCCTTGCAGTGATCGGGTATTTTAGGGTCCTAATGTAAACTGAAAGCAATCGGAATTATAAGACTTAACACTGGAAATCTGTGCATTGTCAATAATTACTATACAATATTGATGCAACCTTTCTCAAACTAGATGATATACCTCCGAGTTCTAGGATACTAGTGGTGGAAAGTGGACCTCGACCGAGGTAACCTACTGCTTGACGGAGATCACAACAGTCAACCAGGGAGACTACACCAATAAGGTTTTCAGAGCAAACTCGTTCTTCACTTTTGATACAAATTCTGAAAGTATCCTTGTTATTAAACTTCTCGAGCTCATATTTTGCTTTTAGTCTGGCAGTTTGTAACAGTAATACTACATGAAACTGTGGTATTGTGGTGTTGAATACTATGCAGAGAAAGTTTCATTGTAAAATATTTTTATTACTAGAACATATCTCGTTTAATACCGTGTTTAGCCTTAAACCAGTTTTTTGTTAAATCCCTTTTTTTGTTATCAAGATATAGTTGGTGTGATATTCCCAACGTCAATTCTAAAATGTCTACATGAAGCAATCCTATCCCACTCTCACTCTTTAAAAATACTTATTCCGGGCAAATTATTGTGAACTAATTATTGTTAATTAGAGTGAATTACGATTTATTATAACGGAATAAACAGAAACTAAGAAGGTGCTTGGAGAGAATTCGCTGCATTTTAATACACGTATTTGTCATTTTGTTGCATTTTAAAGTTTCTGGTAATAAAATAAAACGGACTGCAAAGTACTGACAGCAGTAGAAACAACTCACACACTTGTCTCCTTGGTAGAATCTTTCAATCTGTATAGTTTGAATAATACAATGAAATACGCACTAGATGTACAACGGAATACTAAATCTTAAACTTAGCTCATAAGTAATTAATTTACTTAATATTGAACTAAAATACTTTAACGGCTGCGCGTTCCCACTTGTTATAGTCTTGAAACTATTCAATAACAATGACGTTGCTTTACGAAACTGCAGGTATTGACAATGAAAACGAACTTTTGAGCCATTTTCAATCATACAGATGACTGTATTAATTCCTCTCCGACTGTTTCTGCTTACCATTTACGCAAGCCTATCGAAAACAGAAATGCAATTCAAATTTAAACACACTCAGGGTACTGGGACACAAGTGAATCTGCAGGTTGCAGTGCTTTTTATATAATGTGTATTGTCTACGCAGATACCCAAACCCTTTCGTAAAGGGGCCGGGACATGCCAGTACATCCATCCTCTCTGTAAACCAACTATAAATTATATGAGCAATAACAGAATAGGCCAGTGAACTTCTGTTCAGGTGATGACGTTTTAGAAGGACCGAGTACTAAAGTGAGACTGTTTGCAACAGTCCAAGTTGAAGATTTTTCTTGCAATTTTTCCGAAATTCTTAAACTTAACGCTAACCTTAGGTAGTGACACTGAAATTTCAATAGAACCAAAACGAATACTTTAACATTATTTTGTAATCACAACTTTGCATGTATTACGTTTGCAAAGTTATTATATATCCGTCTTCCAGAATGTTTCATACGTGAAATAACTAGCGCCCCCATGTTGTAGGAAACGTTTATGTCAATATTTTGTACAGTCGCGAACAATCAAGTATTTCATAGTACGTCCGTTTACATGTCAAGAATGGGACTCCGTACGATATAATTTCCATTGATGTGTGCCTACTGCGTATTCACCATCGTCAATATGTTTTTTTCATAATGGCACAGGTCAAAATATTTTGCCAGACAATGGTTCTACACACGCATGCAGATCACTTCATCCAGTCTGCATATGTACACGGAAGTGGATTTTTTTAAAAAATTTGATATTGCATTCATTACAATTATATTCAAGGTGACATGGCGAATAACATCAATGAAGTCACATCAGTATTTCGATTGTTTAGTCTGCTACAAAATTCGCACCGTCGATATACAGAAACAAGATCAGTCATTCGGAGAATCTGCGCGATCTCGGACACCCTGCCAAAATTCCCTAGACCTTCACACATAACAACAAGCAACACTGACCTTCAGAATGTGTGTTTGGGACTTGCAATTTATGTTCAAATCCTGGCACCAGTACCGTTATAGAAGTACGTGACATGAAGGGCATTCTCAGTTAATGCGCGTGGGGTAGCTTGATTTCAACCTCAGTATATAAGCCCTGAGCCATAAATACTTCAACTACGAACAACACAGGCCTGCAACATGTCTGTTTGTATTCGCACTTCAGTTAATTAACCGATACCCAGTAGTGGGCGGAACTCTGCAAAATGGGGGACTGAATAAATTCACAACTCATGACGTGTCGTATGACATTCAATTTTGTCACGTAAGAAAGTAGTGCGTAAATGATTCGTAGGGGATGAATGTCTTGGCCTAGCTAACACGCCCAGCAGAAGGTGGAAGACAAAGCTCCCCATTGCAGAAAGGAGTGTCGACCGAGACACTGATGAAAGACAGGAGGCACGAGTCCAACTGGATTACAGGTATCATCCGGTGGAAGATTACTTCAAGGCATCCAACAACCAATTCCTGAGATCATGGTTAAAAGCTAAGCTAATGCCATGAAGAGATATACATGCATGGCAGACGATGTCTCCCAAATGAAAACATCAATTCACATAGTATGATCATTATGCACATTTGTAATGAAGAATTTGAAGCAGAGCAAGGAGCAAGCAAGAAGTGGCTCAGGA